AACTTGCTAATTATGCAAGTATATGATCTAAAAATGATATAACATAATCATCAAGAGATAAGGTTTCATATAGTCAATTCAAGGATATAAGTTAATTAGGAAGTTTTTAAGTTATAAGCCAAGTCCTTAAGTGTGGAAATATTGTTGTCACCCCCTGTATAATTCAAGTTTTTCTCAAAATTTGATTTTCTTTTATACTCTAAGCATTTAACAAAAAGCTTACTTTTATCATTTTTTTAAGTATCAAAAAATTATTACTGTGAAGAAAGTTATTCTATATGATATTCAAGAGAAAAACTTTAATTCACTTAATATTTTGATAATGAAGATATGTATAAGATATGTTTTTAATTTATATTTTTTCTAATATTTTATTTATATTAATTTTAAGATATTAGATATATTTATTTTAAAAAAAATTTAAATCCTAAGGCCATGCATAAAGAGTCATATTAGTAAAAAAATTTTTTTTAATCTAATTCCATAATTTTTTAACATAATAATTTTTTAATCTAATTTTATACTATTAATTCTTTTTATTATAGACTAAAGGTTCTAAAAGAAAATAAATCTGTTATAGAAAATTATTATGTATTCTTAAGAACCTATAGCACTTTCTCGAACTACAATAAAACTTTAAAATTGGGTTCGTTATATCCTAAATTCATTATATAAAGTTTCATTATATTCAGAATTGACTATAATTATAATTTTTATCAATTTGTATAATTATATAAATATTATTATATATTTGATAAACTAAACCTTTGATCAATGCAACCAAGCAGCAAGTTTTCCTTTAACTTCCAGGTAGCTTGTTGTTTATAAGCTTTTAATATTTTTTCACATTTTTTAATTTTTTTTAATAATGGCACCATCAATGCATCAAAATTATTAACAAAATTATCATTATTTATCTCTTGTTTATACAATTCTAGAGCAGTATCAAACTTTTTTTTGTATAGAGCATATTTCTCTCTTCTCTTCTCCATCACATCATGATTTGTTACTAATGTATATTGCAAATCATTTGATCTAGTGCTAACTTTATTAGGATCATCGACTACATCTAGTATGTCTGATCTAGTTCAAAGATTGTTTATCGAATTGATAACAGGTATTTTATCATTACCAAAACTGATTAAAAGATAATCATGTTGTCAGGATATTTCCAAAAAAGTTAATAAAAATTGATTACTATTCTTTTTATATATTAGATGCTTACAAAGATAATAGCAACTATTTAAATATGCAGAGCAAGAGCATATCTAGTTATCAATATTAATATAATATCTTTCTTCTATGTCAAGTTGGATATTAGCTATAGCTGCTTTACGCTATTCAGCTTTGAACTCATGCTATTATGCAAAAAAGAATTAATTTCTATTATATTAAACTAATTTAATTTCAAAGTCTGGAATGAGTTGTTCAGTTATAATTTGGGTAAGTCTATCTATTCATGAATAGTTATAGTTATATTTATAATTATATTTAAGAACTCTCTAATGACTTTCTGTAATCATATTGATACATGCAAAGAGTATAGCTTGTGGATATGAAGACAAAGTATAAAGCTTCCAATCTTTTTCATTATACTAGTTTGACCATAAATAATCCCATATTATGCAAATATCAAAACTAGTATAATTCTTAGACACAAAAATGATAAATCTCACTTAAAGTTAAGTAAGAATTTTTTTCAACCAGAATAAGCGGATATATAGATGAATATTTTTTAACTATATTTAAAATATGATTAATATAATTATCTGGGCAGAGAGATTCAGCGCCACTTTGAAACCATGATAGGTCGATAAACTCGAATTTATTATATACTTCTAAAGCCTTAGCTCCAGAATATGTACTTGATTTTAATTTTTTTTTTTTATCTTTCTATCAATAGCATGTATGATATGCTATTAACAGATTTGAATACTAGTAGTCCACAACCAAGCTTCACTAACAGAAGATATTTCTCCTACATCTTTGTCAATTAATACAAATACTGGTCACAGTTTTTCATTGTGAAGACTAATAAAAATATATATAGCACTTTAACTCGAGTTTTTATAAAATTTATCATATTATTTTTTGCTACCTCTGTACTATCTAAAGTAGATAAGTATATATATGATATTGGTATACCATACCTGTAGCAGTTTAGATTTACAACAAATAATTTAAACCTTTCTTGGTTTGTTTTAAATGTTGAGTCTATAATTATTTCAGTTGTATTTTCGACACCAACTTGTTTAAATAATAGCATCAAAAATCTTAAGGCTTGCATAAAATCATTTTCAATATAGATAAGAACTTTAAATCCTTTTTTTATAAATTTAGATTGTTCGAGATATAGTTTTGCAGATAAAAGTAGATTATCTTGATTAATCATATATATACTTTTACTATACTTATATATCTAGTAGTATACCTAATCAATCATATGAACTTTTGGATCAACAAGTTTACTTATACAAAACTGATGATACACTTCAGTATACTTTATACTAGATGAAATATTTTGTTAAATCTATTCTCTTGCTTCATTAGAAAATACTATCTGTCAGTAAGTTAGTTTTTTATGTGCTACATGATGTTATCCTTTAACTAATATATATTGCTTTCCTGGAATAATAGTAAGGTTAATATTGCCTGCACATGCATATTTTTCTATAAGTACATAGACTTCACTTTGTCTTTTAGGTGGTTGATTATCTAATTTTTTCCAGGCCTAATCATCTTGTATTGTGTAGCCAAGATATATTGTCGCAGAACCAGAAAATTTTTGTTTTGGATATTTAAATATACTATGTATTTTCTAGTAGTAACCAGAATCTGATTCAAGCAGCACAATAAGTATATAAGCAAGTTGACGAAAATTAGTTTCAATTATTTTTAAATCTTCATTATTATTTAAGTCAGGTGGTGTTAAAGCAAAAGCAGTAAGAAGATTATCTTCTATTTCAATTTTATATATAAAATTGGCAGTTTTATTTAATATTTCTACTTCTTCAAACAATTTTTTCATAATTTTACACATTTTTTCCAGGTCATATCGTAATACTTTTGAGTTATTGTTATTTGAATCATTATCCAAGTCAACATTTGAATTGTTGTCTTTGTCCGCATTATTATCATGCTACATTGTGCTGTGAAATTTATTATCAAGGTATTCAAAAAATGGGTCTAGACTTTCTGAATTTTTATCTAGATTAGTAATATTTTTATCTTGAAATATTTCTGTAGTTGACTTTTTTTTTGTTTATTTTTTTTTTTTAAAGAATATTGATTGTATGTAGCATATTCTTGTTGCAAGCTACTTTTAGTAAGGTGATAAAACTCAACCATATTTTTTATTTTATTGCAGCTAGTACAATATCTAAGATTTTAGGCAAGAACTTTTATTGAAAAAAAATTTTTATTTAATTTTTTCATGTTAGTAAAAAAATAAATCAATACTAATTAATTTTATTTTATATTTTTACTCAAGTTATACCTTGAATAATTTTGTTATTGCTCATTTTATAGTTTTAATAAATTGCTAAAAGATTTGAAAAGGTATGAATATAATATATTTAGTGAATATAAGGTCTGTTAATGTTATAATTTAGTAATTCTTTTTATAATATAGGTTTTGTATTTTAGATTTTGGCCAAAGCAATTTTAACAATAATTAAAATATTTTTTATTTATTTAATAAAGAAAAAAGAAATTTTTGTTCTTATTAACCTAACAGGCAAGAAATCATTTTTATTTATATCAAAAAATTAT